CAGAACTTGTTCAATGGTTAAGTGTGTTACTAGGAATTTTAAGCAGCATTATTTTGTTCAGGTTCCGTTAAAATGCCCAGAAATCTAATGAATTCGGGATCAAGAAGTTGCCAGAAAGATAGCAATACTTCATCGGTCGATAGAGTTAGTATTTAATCTCGCAAATGTTATTCTTTTCAAATACATTAAAATGAATCTGTCACTGCAAAACGAAAAATTTTAACTACCGACCCATCAAATGGGAAAATAACAAATCTTTGATAAGAAATGCAGCTTTTACCAACAAATCCATCGTTATTCCGCTTTTGCTGCCAAGTTGTTACTGGATATTACTTTAAAAAAATACTTAGAAACCCTTTTCGGGCATTTAGCTACTTTGCAGCGTGAATTTTCCGTGCATATGTAAACTGTTTTCCATGTGAGAGTAGTATATAAATTAGGTCAAATGTATCCACATACCTCAACTTCAGACTCCTTAACAGTTTATTCTTCAAATCAAGCAATTCAAACAGACATCGGAAAACCAATTTCTGCTAAGTGTACAGACAGATCTTACTGACCAGTAAAATGTTGGAAGACAGAAATACAGTTAGAGAACTTCCTTTATTCATGTTGTGATTAAAACTGCGCAACATGAATGCCATCACTTTAATCGAAATGAATTTAAAACGGCAATAAAAGGGTGGAAATGCATATTTTATAATTCGAGGAACAGCAGTGTAGAATAAGAAAATAAGTTTGAAATTATTTAAGTATATTGCCCAAGGACGGAAGATATACTGTACGGGATTTTTCCAGGTATTTTTAGCGTTTAATGAAGGGGGTGAAATGTACTTTTTCTGTAAGTCACAAGCAAACCAGTATCGTCATTGTTAGAAGCAGTAAAAAAAACATAATTTTGACTCTCTGATTATTCAAAAAAAGTTTTGGAATCAGAAGAAAAATTATTATTATTATTACTATACATGACGAATTCACCAGCAGGTAAGCTTACGTTGGTCATGAGGGGGCTCTGTCAAGCAAGTAAACAAGTTCTGAAGCGATGCTCAGACATGCAAAACAGCAAAGAAACAACTGCGAGGCAACAAAATGCTAAATGCTGCAGAGTTTTGCTTATAATTTGATCGGAATTTTAACTGAAGTAGTCACAAATTATGCCGTCTGCATTAAATAAATCTTACTCAAAAGCATAAACTACTTCAATTCACCGAGATGCATATTTTCAAGCAGAAATTTATGAATTTTCCGAAAAGAGTGCATTTTTTAACACACTTAGTAGCAACATTTTTGCATCACAGTTTGTAAAGGTCTCTGAGTTTTTCGTCAAGGTAAAATTAGACGGAAAAAGGTGTTTGGAATTAGCAGTAAACAAACTAGGGCGTGTTCAGGGGGGACAGGATTCAAAAAACATAAGCACACCTCGTTAATGAAAAACCCGTAACCGCCTTTGTTGGAGGGCTTCCTTTCATTGCGAACGTAGCCAAAAACTTTCTGAAGTTAACACTAAGAATTTTATCTGAGCGCAGATTGCTTATGCTTGTTCGTTAATTTTAGTCCATGTGACCTACTCCAAATTGAAACTCATCCCCAAAGGAATACGATTTCAGCCAAAACTGAATTCAGTGTGGATTATTTTCGCAATGGACCTGTAAGCACTAGGACTCATATAAGCGCACTCATTGCCTTTAATTATTCCTTTGTAGCTGCAGCTGCAATTTTTATCTTTGAATGTTTATTTCAAATGTTTATTTGCTGGAGATAAGTTGTAGTTCTCATTTTCTCTCAGGAAAAACGTTTTTTGGTGGAGTAAGGCGTAAAAATTTCTTTTCAGTGTTGAGAAATTGCGTTTACTACCCGTCGACTTAACTGAAATAGGTTTATTCTTTTGATCACGTTTTGAAGTAAACGTCATTAAATCTGAATTTGGCTTTTCTAGTAACTTAAAAAAATGCAACACTTATCTTGAAAAACATTATAAAATAACTTAATGCGAATTTTCTGCAGCCAGACTAAGTGTATGATATAAAATCTCCTTTGAGAAAGTTTAATTAGGTCGAAACGGATGACGGTATTGATATGAAACTATTGAGGCTCCCTCCTTCGTTGTAGATTGATATTCGCATTACCATTTTGGATCACGATCGCTTCTCTGGTCCGGATCTTGTGGGGGAATATCGAACCACACTAACGCCCTCATCATTATTAAGTCACCAGACCTTAGATTCGGGTGAAGTACGTTCCCATCATCGCGAATTGCCAGGCACAGTGTAAGTAAATGACTTTCATGTCGCATTTGCACCCAAAGGAAAGAATTATTTTTTAACTGATTAAAGGGCATGCTCAGTCAAGCCCAGGGTCGCTAATTACAGCCAGCAATAAATGTCGAATTTCACAACTAAAATTAACATGTGACTTATTGATGTATCCGTGGTCGGATTTTTGTGAACCAAAACAAAAGACATCGGAACTAATTTCAAATTCAGCTTCTCTCTACAAGCAGTGGGACACTTGGCACGTCAAGGTTTTGCTCACTGTTATTTTAACCCTATTAAAATTATATAACATTTAGTATTCGTTGCAAAGAGTGGAATACTACGTTGCGAATTCGCTTGCGGCAGGTATAGATTTAAATATTCGCATAGAGCCACAAGAGGTTCCTTTTAGCGAGGCTCCAATTAATTACCTCGTGCCACGCACGATACAAATGTTGTCGTGTTACTTTAAATCTTGACAATTTGAAGCCTTTTTTGTGCTATATAATGTGAAAAATTTCTAAGATGCTGTTATGTTAAACGTGGTCGAGTCTAATACGTTGAAATGTTCAACATTATTTGTACCAACGATCCACCCTCCACGTCCTCCCGTGCAAAGAATGGGAAGTGTTTCGTGCAAGAATGTGTGTGATCAATGAATTTTTATTCCCCTAGAATGAAAATAGACGCTAGTAAAGTCTGCAAACCGGACCATTACGGTAGAGAGTGCAAATTCTGCCAAGTTTCCAGCGAAAGAGGCTACTGCACCGCAGTCGGCGATGAAGTGTGTATCTCAGGTAATGAACTTGTAAATTTATTTCGTTTTTGCTTGTTCTTTGGAAACACCTTCTCCCAATTATCCTGCCAGGTAAATGCAGCATTAGACTTGATGGCAACATTGTTAGTCCAACTTACTTCTAGTGAAAGAGAAGTCGGGCTTTCAAATAATCATCAAAGAAATCTTATTAAATTGTGACGACGCGGAATTTTATTTTGGCAATTTTTAGAAAATCAGCACTTATTTCTAACCAACTTCAATGTTCCAAACTGATGCCTACGTGTGTAGTTACTTTTAGTAGTGCAGAAATCACAAGTATGGGCATTCACGTTTACTTTTGGTATTGAACATTAATT